CACCCAGTGATCAGACTGTACATTGTAACTTTGTAGAAGGAGGAGGAAGCATTTCCTCAGTCTCCCCTCCCCCAGTGATCAGACTGTACATTGTAACTTTTTAGAAGGAGGAGGAGGCCTTTCCTCAGTCTCCCTTCACCCAGTGATCAGACTGTACATTGTAACTTTGTAGAAGGAGGAGGAGGCATTTCCTCAGTCTCCCCTCCCCCAGTGATCAGACTGTACATTGTAACTTTGTAGAAGGAGGAGGACGCGCGTTTCCTCAGTCTCCCCCCCAAAGAAATCTCTCCAAATCTCTTACAAAGCTTGCACCCCAGCGAGTGTCCCCATTAGAATTTTCTTTTCTATTCCTATTCTAGTGGCAACTGTGAAATGTCGGCTTTCCCATCACTTTCTATGGCCTGAGTTAGTAACAGAGTGCAGGGGTCAGTAGTATATGATGCAGAGTGCAGGGGTCAGTAGTAAGTAACTCAGATTTCAGAGATCATTGGTATGTAACACAAAGCTCAAAGGTCAGTAGTATTTAACAAAATTCCGGGGTCAGTAGTAAGTAATGCAGAATGCAGGGGTCAGTGGTATGTAATGTTGAGTGCAGGGGTCAGTGGTATGTATTGTAGAGTACAGGTGTCAGCAGTGTATAATGTAGAGTGCAGGTGTCAGCAGCATGTAAAGCAGAGTACAGAGGTCAGTAGTATGGAATGCAGAGCTCAGAGGTCAGTAGTATGTAATGTAGAATGCAACGGTCAGCAGCATGTAACGCAGAATTCAGAGGTCAGTAGTATACGAGTGCAGGGGTTAGTATTGTACAAGGCAGAATGCAGGGGTCAGTAGTAAGTAACTTAGAGTGCAGGGGTCAGTATTGTACAAGGCAGAGTGCAGGGGTCAGTAGTAAGTAACTCAGATTTCAGAGATCATTGGTATGTAACACAAAGTTCAAAGGACATTAGCATGTAAAACAGAGCTCAGGGGTCAGTAGTAAGTAATGCAGACTGCATAGGTCAGCGGTATGCAATGTGGATGCAGGGTTTAGCAGTGTGTAATGTAGAGCGCAGGGGTCAGTAGTATGTAACACAGAGATCAGAGGTCAGTTGTATTTAACAGAGTTCAAGGGTCAGTAGTAAGTAATGCAGAGTGCAGGGGTCAGTAGTAAGTAATGCAGAGTGCAGGGGTCAGTAGTAAGTAATGCAGAGTGCAGGGGTCAGTTGTATGTAATGTAGAGCACAGGTGACAGTATCATGTAACGCAGAGCTCAGAGGTCAGTATTATGTAATGTAAAAAGCAGGGGGTAAGTAGTATGTAACAAAGTTTAGAGGTCAGTAGTATGTAATGTAGAGTGCAGGGGTGAGTAGTATGTAATGCAGAGTGCAGGAGTGAGTAGTATGTAATGCAGAGTGCAGGGGTGAGTAGTATGTAATGTAGAGCGCAGGGGTATGTAGTATATACTGCAGAGTGCAGGGGTGAATAGTATGTAATGCAGAGTGCAGATGTCAGTAGTTAACAATGCAGAGCTCAGACGTCAGCAGTATGTAATGCAGAGTGCAGGGGTCAGTAGAATGTAATGCAGAGCGCAGGTGTCAGTAGTATGTAACACAAAGTTCAGAGGTCAGTAGTATGTAAATGCAGAGTGCAGGGGTGAGTAGTATATAATGCAGAGTGCAGGGGTGAGTAGTATGTAATGCAGAGTGCAGGGGTGAGTAGTATGTAATGCAGAGTGCAGGGGTGAGTAGTATGTAATGCAGAGCACAGGGGTCAGTAGTATGTAATACCGAGCGCAGGGGTCAGTAGTATGTAATGCCGAGCGCAGGGGTGAGTAGTATGTAATACAGAGTGCAGGGGTCAGTAGCATGTAATACAGAGTGCAGGGGTGAGTAGTATGTAATACAGAGTGCAGGGGTGAGTAGTATGTAATGCAAAGAGCAGGGGTGAGTAGTATGTAATACAGAGTGCAGGGGTGAGTAGTATGTTATGCAAAGTGCAGGGGTGGGTAGTATGTAATGCAGAGTGCAGGGGTCAGTAGCATGTAATGCAGAGTGCAAGAGTGAGTAGTATGTAATGCAGAGCGTAGGGGTCAGTAGTATGGAATGCAGAGTGCAGGGGTGAGTAGTATGTAATGCAGAGTGCAGGGGTCAGTAGCATGTAATGCAGAGTGCAGGAGTGAGTAGTATGTAATGCAGAGCGCAGGGGTCAGTAGTATGGAATGCAGAGTGCAGGGGTGAGTAGTATGTAATGCAGAGTGCAGGGGTGAGTAGTATGCAATGCAGAGTGCAGGGGTGAGTAGTATGTAATGCCGAGCGCAGGGGTCAGTAGTATGTAATGCAGAGTGCAGGGATCAATAGTATGCAATGCAGATCGCAGGGGTGAGTAGTATGTAATGCAGATCGCAGGGGTTAATAGTATGTAATGCAGAGTGCAGGGATCAGTAGTTAGCAATGCAGAGCGCAGGGGTGAGTAGTATGTAATGCAGAGTGCAGGGGTCAGTAGTATGTAATGCCGAGAGCAGGGGTCAGTAGTTAGTAATGCAGAGCGCAGGGGTCAGTAGTATGTAATGCAGAGTGCAGGGGTCAGTAGTATGTAATGCAGAGTGCAGGGGTCAGTAGTATGTACTTTATTGGTTAGTAATACACACAAACTCCCAATCCCTCCATAAAACAAATCACTCACCAGACCTCAGAGGCGGCGGTGTCTGGCGCATTGAGGTAAGTCCTCCCAGGTCTCCCCTTCTCTGGGTCATGTGACACGAGGAGCTTGGGACTTCCCTTAGCTCTGCAGGAGTCAGGAGCGGGCCGCACGGCAGGCAGACTGCAATGGGCCCCCGGCCGATCCCCGCTTTAAACCCAACAACTTATCAGTTCCATTATCACTTTGCAGACCGACAATTTTCAGCAGCAGGAAAGCAGCGGACTGCAGCTACAAATAGACGCACATTGTGCCCGGCGTTTAGTTTGGTGGTTAAGTAGGAAAAAAAAACCTTTCATTCCCCTAGAAAAAAAAAAAATGCTTCTCTCCAAAAAAAAGAAAAACAGCCGAATAATTGTCCATTGTGTCCGGCGGCCCAGGAGCCGTCTTCCTGTTGAGCGCACCTATGTGGCCCGTTGGCCGGGCACAGATCCCCCCCCCCCCCCCTCCCCCCAATGTGGCCCTCTCTGTGCTCACCTTGTGTAGGGTTCCCTGTGCTACTGGCAGAAGCTGAAATAGAATAAAATACTAAACAAACAGCCGGGCCCGAGATTTCCACAGGAGATTTGAAGAGCTGAACCGTATGTGCGCGTCGCTTGGCAAACCGCGTCTCTCCCCCGAGCTGGCGGCGCTCATCGGCGGGTCCCTGCCGCGGGGAATGAAAGGCTACATTCTCCTGGAACGGAGAGCCTCATTTCACTATTGTTTTGACTTACTTCAGCCACGGAATCGATGGGAAAAAAAACCTCGAATTGAATTAGAACCTTGGGCTCTCGCCGGCGTATATCGATGTACAGAACAGATTATAGGACGAGCAAAAAAAAAAAAATACTGACGAATGATCGTCGTCCCCAATAATTAGGGCTTTGTATGATAGGACGACCTCCGACCCAGCCAAAGCCCATGATGGAACTTCTAATGGTCTGCAGGAGAATCTGAATTATCATCAAGTTAGTCTGCCCTGACAAACGTGTCCCCCTCCACCCCACCCCCCCAAATGACCGTCTGAACACCAAACGCATGCGGTCCATACCGCCTTCCCTGACCACGCCCGCAGCGTGCTGTAGGCACACTACTCAACAGCCAACATGTTGCCTGATAGGACTATCACAGGGCATTGCAAAGTGACAGGCTCTCTTTAAACCTTTCCGTCCAGGATGGACTGCAGCTTGCTGTTACATGATAACAGGGCCGGATCTGATCTGGGGGGGCAGTAAAAACAAGTCGAGGGGCATAATGTCAACATAATGTCACCGACAGTCTGTCACATGGTGTCACCGCCTGGGAAACATTATTATGTGTTAGGTTGTCATTAGATTATGGTGAGTGAGCAGAAACTGTGCCCCCCCCCCCCCCATATCATGTGTCCCTAGCAAAGTCCCCCTTTACATTAGGAGTCCTCATCAGAGTTCCTCTTTACATCATGACTGCTCAGTAGAGTCCCCTTTTACATCAGGGGCCAATGAGAGTGCCCCCTTACATCAGGTGTCCCCATCAGGGTGCCTCCTTTCATCAGGTGTCCCCATCAGAGTGCCTCCTTTCATCAGGTGGCTCCATCAGAGTGCCTCCTTTCATCAGGTGTCCCCATCAGAGTGCCTCCTTTCATCAGGTGGCCCCATCAGAGTGCCCCCTAACATCAGGTGTCCCCATCAGAGTGCCTCCTTACATCAGGTGACCCCATCAGAGTGCCTCCTTACATCAGTTGACCCCATCAGAGTGCCTCCTTACATCAGGTGACCCCATCAGAGTGCCCTCTTACATCAGGTGACCCCATCAGAGTGCCTCCTTACATCAGGTGTCCCCATCAGAGTGCCTCCTTACATCAGCTGCCTCCATCAGAGTGCCCCCTTACATCAGCTGCCTCCATCAGAGTACCTCCTTACATCAGGTGTCCCCATCAGAGTGCCCCCTTACATCAGGTGTCCCCATCAGAGTGCCCCCTTACATCAGCTGCCTCCATCAGAGTACCTCCTTACATCAGGTGTCCCCATCAGAGTGCCCCCTTACATCAGGTGACCCCTACAGAGTACCTCCTTACATCAGGTGTCCCCATCAGAGTGCCCCCTTACATCAGGTGTCCCCATCAGAGTACCTCCTTACATCAGCTGCCTCCATCAGAGTGCCTCCTTACATCAGGTGTCCCCATCAGAGTACCTCCTTACATCAGGTGTCCCCATCAGAGTACCTCCTTACATCAGCTGTCTCCATCAGAGTGCCTCCTTACATCAGGTGTCCCCATCAGAGTGCCTCCTTACATCAGATGTTCTCATCAGAGTGCCCCCTTACATCAGGTGTCCCCCATTAGAGTGCCCCCTTACACCAAGTGTCCCCATCAGAGTGCCCCCTTACATCAGGTGTCCCCATCAGAGTGCCCCCTTACACCAAGTGTCCCCATCAGAGTGCCCCCTTACACCAGGTGTCCCCATCAGAGTGCCTCCTTACATCAGCTGTCTCCATCAGAGTGCCCCCTTACACCAAGTGTCCCCATCAGAGTGCCCCCTTACATCAAGTGTCCCCATCAGAGTGCCCCCTTACACCAGGTGTCCCCATCAGAGTGCCCCCTTACATCAGATGTCCCCATCAGAGTGCCCCTTACATCAGGTGTCCCCATCAGAGGGCCCCCTTACAGCAGGTGTCCCCATCAGAGTGCCCCCCTTACAGCAGTTATCCCCATCAGAGTGCCCCCTTACATCAGGTGTCCCCATCAGAGTGCCCCCTTACATCAGGTGTCCCCATCAGAGTGCCCCCTTACAGCAGGTGTCCCCATCAGAGTGCCCCCTTACATCAGATGTCCCCATCAGAGTGCCCCTTACATCAGGTGTCCCCATCAGAGGGCCCCCTTACATCAGGTATCCCCATCAGAGTGCCCCCTTACATCAGGTGTCCCCATCAGAGTGTCCCCTTACATTAGGTATCCCCACCAGAGTGCCCCCTTACATCAGTTTGTGTCCCTAATAGAGTCCGAAAATGTAATCGCCTGCTTGTGCGATTGGCTGACTGATTTTCCGCACTAAGATACAAGTCAGGTTTTGAGCATCCCCTGCAAGAACATTTTTTGTTGGGATACTCCTAAAGGGAAATCACATCTAACGGGATGCAGACCCCGCCACTTTCCTCATTAGAGCCCTGCAGCTGATTGATCATGACAAAGTCGCTCCCATTCACAGTCACTCAGCACAGGACACAAAGAAACAAACAGATATTTCTTCAGAAGAACAAAAGGTTGGAATCTGCTACAAAGTGTTACAATCCCTGCAATGTACAGAGATCACCCGGAGGGGCGGGGTTTAATTTTTTTCTCAGCAAAAGTGGAGTTACCCTTTAAGGCAGACATGATTAGGTGACGTTGGCAGAGATCCTCTGTGCATTCATGAGCCCGGGTGATGCGGTGCAGAATTTGCAGCGGTTTCTGTGCGAATTCCGCACCGCATCACAGTCGCCCCCCGTTCATGGGAACCGCTGCGGGTGTGTAAGTCAAGTTAACCACTTCCCGTCCGGCCCATGTATATAAACAGCCGGACAGGAGCAGTGCAGGAGCGGGTGGATGTTCATAAACGTCGCTCCCTGGGACACAGCAGAACACCGATCCTTGTATGGGACCTCTGTGCGAGGTCCCGATTCATGTGATCACTGATTGGCCAATCAGTGATCACATGCAGAGTAGTAAGCAAGATGTCACTTCCTGACATTATTGCTTACTACATGTGAAATCTGTGAATGATCACAGAGATCACATGGTACAGGGCTATTCACAACAGCCTTGTACCATGTGACAAGCTGTGACCAATCACAGCTCACTCAGTATTTCTCAGTAGCTGCAAGAATGCAGCCAGAGAGAAGGAGAAATGATTCCTCTTACAGCCTTTATGGGTGTAAAAGCAATCAGTGTAAAAAAAAAAAATTCATCACCCCCCACAAGTAGTACAATGTCACCATGGTGACCCCACACTGCTAGGGTGACAGTATGTTAAAAAAAAAAAAAAACAAACAAACAATAATAATAAAAAAAAAAATGTAAAAAAATGTTTTTGAAAAATTATAATTTTTGGTTATAAACTAATTTGGGTTATTTTTTTTTACTAAACATTTTGGCCGAGATTTATGAAGAAATATTATTTATTTGCAAACTTTTATAAGAAAAAAACTTTTTTTCAAAATGTTTGGACTTTTTCATTTATATAGCAAAAAAAAATAAAAATCCCAGCGGTGAATAAATACCACCAAAATAAAGTTTTATCTGTCTCAAAAAAAATGCTAAAAACTTCATACGGGTACAGTGTTGCATGACCGCGCAATTGTCATTCAAAGTGTGATAGCGCTGAAAATTGGCCTGGACTGGAAGGGGGGGAAAGTGTCCGGACAGGAAGGGGGTGAAAGTGTCCGGACTGGAAGGGGGTGAAAGTGTCCGGACTGGAAGGGGGTGAAAGTGTCCGGACTGGAAGGGGGGGGAAAGTGTCCGGGCTGGAAGGGGGGGGAAAGTGTCCGGACTGGAAGGGGGGGAAAGTGTCCGGACTGGAAGGGGGGGAAAGTGTCTGGACTGGAAGGGGGGGAAAGTGTCTGGACTGGAAGGGGGGGAATGTGTCCGGACTGGAAGGGGGGGGAAAGTGTCCGGACTGGAAGGGGGGGAAAGTGTCCGGACTGGAAGGGGGGGAAAGTGTCCGGACTGGAAGGGGGGAAAGTGTCCGGACTGGAAGGGGGGGGAAAGTGTCTGGACTGGAAGGGGGGGAATGTGTCCGGACTGGAAGGGGGGGGAAAGTGTCCGGACTGGAAGGGGGGGAAAGTGTCCGGACTGGAAGGGGGGGAAAGTGTCCGGACTGGAAGGGGGGAAAGTGTCCGGACTGGAAGGGGGTGAAAGTGTCCGGACTGGAAGGGGGGGAATGTGTCCGACTGGAAGGGGGTGAAAGTGTCCGGACTGGAAGGGGGGGAAAGTGTCCGGACTGGAAGGGGGGGAAAGTGTCCGGACTGGAAGGGGGGGAAAGTGTCCGGACTGGAAGGGGGGGAAAGCGTCTGGACTGGAAGAGGGGGAAAGTGTCCGGACTGGAAGGGGGGGGAAAGTGTCCGGACTGGAAGAGGGGGAAAGTGTCCGGACTGGAAGGGGGGGGGAAAGTGTCCGGACTGGAAGGGGGGGAAAGTGTCCGGACTGGAAGGGGGGAAAGCGTCCGGACTGGAAGGGGGGAAAGTGTCCGGACTGGAAGGGGGTGAAAGTGTCCGGACTGGAAGGGGGGGAAAGTGTCCGGACTGGAAGTAGCTAACAACACCCTGAAATCGGTCCGCGAGGTGCAGAATCGGGGGAACCCATGCGATCCGATTCTAGTGCAGACCAAGAAAAGGGTGCTGTACCTTCTTGGTGCGATTGAGCTATACACAATGTATGGCTCCAATCGCACCGCACAGAATTTGCACAGGAATGTGCTGTTCCGTTGCGGTTCCGATGCGATTCACATGCGACTTGCCGTGACGCACAATTGTGAGATTGCGCATGCTGCAGTGTTCCTCTCGGCTCGCCATCCCACGTGACAGCGTCTGTCTTTTCACTTTCTTTTTTTTTTTCAATAATACAAGAACACCTTTTGTCTCTCTGTAGCGGCAAGCTGTCCGATCGAACAAACAGTCGCATTATGCGTGCCAATTCGCATAGTCGAGTCCCCAGCGCGCTCTCACTTTGGCCGGGTGTCCTGATCCATGTTTGCGCACTGGAGGTTGGGATAATTACACGGCAGGGAACACAATGTAGAACAAGATCATTCATGGCGGCAAACAACAGTCCGCGTCCTCCGCAGGGCCGCGCACGGGAGCTCTGAGAACAAAGCCGCGTGTGTGCACACCGAGCGCATCCCTGCCAATGTGTCGGCCAATATTTGCTTCCTGCGATCGCCAAATTATAATCCGATCCTGACCCCTCCTCGTTGTTTTCTGGAAACACTTCACAGGCGAAGAGGCAGAGGTGCTTCCGAACGAAGAAATGCGATTATTCCGCTGTCGATCGATATATAAATCGTCCCGATCGCGCATTTCGCTCCATTCTGCCGGCGCAGGCTTTTGAAGTATCCTCAGCACCCCCCCCCCCCCCAAAAAAAAAAAAAACGAACGCTCGGTGTTTGTAGCCGCAGGAGAGTGTCCAGAGATTAGCAGAACTGAAAAAATTTGTTTGGTTTCATTATTTCAATCATTTTCATTTGATTAAATTAATTTCGTTTGTTTTCAGATTTGATCCAATTCGAATTCAGCTCGACCAAATTAGGAAATTTCAAATCTGCCTTCGAATTTATTCTATTCGAATTTCGGAAAGACGGTTATATTCTTTTTATTTTTTATTTTTTCTATTGTATTTTATTGTTTTTACTTCTATTCTATTCTTTTCTCTTCTATTCTAATCTATTCTATTCAAATTTGAACAAATTCTATTTGAAATTTGAATTTCAGAAGACGGTTATATAATGTTGGTAAAGGTGCAACCAGGGGTGGACTGACAACTAATGGGGCCCCCGGGCAATAGGAGATCTTGGGCCCCTGTGTCCTTGCCCAAGCTCAAAAAATCCTATGAAAAAGGTACCAGGGGCATCTCATGGGGCCCCCTACTGACCGCAGGCCCTCGGGCAGTGCCTGAGTTTCCAAATGGTCAGTCCGCCCCTGGGTGCAACAAAGTCTATTCTTTGGTGATGAACTCAGTTGATGTCCTTTTCAAACAACCTGGAGTTCCCGCAGCTTCTGGACCCCAATTAGCCATGACATACAATGCGATTCCATCCTGTGACCCCCCTCCCTATTCAAAATTCAAATTTCAGAAGACAGTTATATTCTACTCTGTTCCATTCTATTTTATTGTATTATTTTCTATTCTATTTTCATCTATTCTATTCAAATTAAAATGTATTGTATTCAAAATTCCAATTTCAGAAGACAGTTATATTCTTTCTATTTTATTCTATTTTGTTGTTTTTTTTTCTATTCTATTCTTTTCTATTCAAATTTATTTTGTTTGAAATTCGAATTTCAGAAGACGGTTATATAAGCTTGGTAGAGTTGACACAAAGTCTATTCTTTGGTGATGAACTCACTCGATGTCCTTCTCAAACAACCTGGAGTTTCAGCGGCTTCTGGACACCAATTAGCCATGACCAGGGGCGGACTGACAACTCATGGGGCCCCCAGGCAATAAGGGATCATGGGTCCCCTGTGTCCTCGTCCACACTCAAACCACACCCAAAAAATCCTATGAAAGGTACCAGGGGCATCTCATGGGGCCCCCTACTAACCCTGGGCCCCATCAGTCCGCACCTGGCCATGACATACAATGCGATTCCATCCTGCGCCCCCCCCCTCCCTGGTCATAGGGTGCTTGACTCATGCCCATGCCGTTGGGTAGTCGATCTCTGGTATTCAGCGCTGGATGTACAACAAGAACTTCTGGTTTGC